ATCCAATGCGGCTATGGTGTAACGGTCTAATGGGCTGCGTTCTGAGTATAACATGTGGTGTGCCTACTTCCGGAAGCCACAAGTTCAATCCTATCCCAAGCCCAACCTTTTCAAAAGGTTCAATACCTCAAGCCCATTTGAACAAAGTCTATGTACTTTTTTAGCCCTCACTTTCTTAAGAAATTATAAGGAACGCAAAGGAAAGTACTACCAAAAGGCTTACACCCATATCTAACATGCCTTCTTTTTTTCTGCTCGTGTTTTTTTTTCTTGCTCGCGCAAAGCGTTTTTTTTTCGCGTCGATTTATTTACCACTTCTAACAGCATAATACACAGCATCCACAACTCAACGTTCCCCCTCCGCCCGTTGCGTCTTTTGGGCAGCTCAGACCTTCAGGTCAAGTTTCCGGAGGAGGGGGAATTATTGTAGGCTTATTGGTGCTTTATCCTGCTTGATCAATGTTTCCAGAAGGCCAGACGTGCCCGTCCCATTCATGCCCTGCAACCCGTGACATGATTTCGGTGGATTGAAGGGGGAGGCAGCTTGACGAATGTATATAAAAGTCAACGGGCAGACAGGGCGGACGAGAATTGAGGCTGGAGGCTGCCACGTCAACGTCGTTCTTGCAGTTTTGTCATGTACATAATTACACATTCATTCTCTCCTCGCAGTGGAAATTTATATACTCTCAGATGCAGATTCAAAATCTGCGTCGAATGGTTCTATTTTCAAGCTGAATGGACAACTTTTGAGCGTGCTACATAGACAATACTTTACAACTACATAAATCCGTTTGTTTATTTGGCGAAAAAAAAAAAATCATGCCGCGCCCTATGTTCCGCACATGGCTGTAATTATTATCGATCCTTATCGATGGAGACGCCTAGAGACGCCCAATTTCTTATTCTTCTAGTTTAAGTTACATGTTAATTTTTCCTATCATCGGGATCTCTTTCGACTTTGGCGCCTCGATTGACATGGACCTAAAATCCCAGATGTCCGCTGGCGTTGCGAA